TATCCCTACAGCCCCTCTATCTATCTATCTATCCCCTATCTATCTATCTATCCCCCATCTATCTATCTTCCTACACATCTACTATCTCTATCTTCTTCTCCCTCCCCACGCGGGGGGGGGGCGGGGGGGGGGGGGGGGGGGGGGGGGGGGGGGGGGGGGGGGGGGGGGGGGGGCCCGGCGGGCCCCCCCTCTATCTATCTATCTATCTATCTATCTATCTATCTATTATTATCCCATACAGCCCTATCTATCTATCCCCATACAGCTCTATCTATCTATCTATCTATCTATCTATCTATCTATCTATCTATCTATCCTATTATCCATACAGCCCCTCTATCTATCTATCTATCTATCTATCTATCTATCTATCTATCTATCCCCATACATCTATCTATCCTATCTATCTATCCCCATAAGCTCTATCTATCTATCTATCTATCTATCTATCTATCTATCTATCTATCTATCTATCCCCATACAGCCCCTCTATCTATCTATCTATCTATCTATCTATCTATCTATCTATCTATCTATCTATCCCCATACAGCCCATCTATCTATCTATCTATCCATCTATCTATCTCCATACAACCCCACTCTATCTATCTATCTATCTATCTATCTATCTATCTATCTATCTATCCCCATCAGCCCATCTATCTATCTATCTATCTATCTATCTTCATAGCATCTATCTATCTATCTATCTATCTATCTATCCCCATACATCTATCTATCTATCTATCTATCTATCTATCTATCTATCTATCTATCTATCCCCATACAGCCCATCTATCTATCTATCCATCTATCTATCTCCATACAACCCCATCTATCTATCTATCTATCTATCTATCTATCTATCTATCTATCTATCCCCATCAGCCCATCTATCTATCTATCTATCTATCTATCTATCTATCTATCTATCTATCTATCTATCTATCCCCATACAGCCCCATTATCTATCTATCTATCTATCTATCTATCTATCTATCTATCTATCTATCCCCATACAGCCCATCTATCTATCTATCTATCTATCTATCTATCTATCTATCTATCCCCATACAGCCCCTCTATCTATCTATCTATCCCCATACAGAGCCCCCCCCACCTCTATCTATCTACCTATCTATCTATCCCCATACAGCCCATCTATCTATCCCCATACAGCCGCTCTATCTATCTATCTATCTATCTATCTATCTATCTATCTATCTATCCCCATACAGCCCCTCTATCTATCTATCTATCTATCTATCTATCTATCTATCCCCATACAGCCCATCTATCTATCATGTTGTTCCTTGACTTTAGCAAAGCTTTTGACACGGTCTCCCACAGTATTCTTGTCAGCAAGTTAAAGAAGTATGGGCTGGATGAATGCACTATAAGGTGGGTAGAAAGTTGGCTAGATTGTCGGGCTCAACGGGTAGTGATCAATGGCTCCATGTCTAGTTGGCAGCCGGTGTCAAGTGGAGTGCCCCAAGGGTCGGTCCTGGGGCCGGTTTTGTTCAATATCTTCATAAATGATCTGGAGGATGGTGTGGATTGCACCCTCAGCAAATTTGCAGATGACACTAAACTAGGAGGAGTGGTAGATACGCTGGAGGGCAGGGATAGGATAGAGAGGGACCTAGACAAATTAGAGGATTGGGCCAAAAGAAATCTGATGAGTTTCAACAAGGACAAGTGCAGAGTCCTGCACTTAGGAGGGAAGAATCCCATGCACCGCTACAGACTAGGGACTGAATGGCTCGGCAGCAGTTCTGCAGAAAAGGACCTACGGGTTACAGTGGACGAGAAGTTGGATATGAGTCAACAGTATGCCCTTGTTGCCAAGAAGGCCAATGGCATTTTGGGATGTATAGGTGGGGCGTTGCCAGCAGATCGAGGGACGTGATCGTTCCCCTCTATTCGACATTGGTGAGGCCTCATCTGGAGTACTGTGTCCAGTTTTGGGCCCCACACTTCAAGAAGGATGTGGAGAAATTGGAGAGAGTCCAGCGAAGGGCAACAAAAATTATTAGGGGTCTGGAACACATGACTTATGAGGAGAGGCTGAGGGAACTGGGGATTCAGAAGAGAAGAATGAGGGGGGATTTGATAGCTGCTTTCAGCTACCTGAAAGGGGGTTCCAAAGAGGATGGATCTAGACTGTTCTTAGTGGTAGCTGATGACAGAACAAGGAGCAATGGTCTCAAGTTGCAGTGGGGGAGGTTTAGGTTGTATATTAGGAAAAACTTTTTCACTCGGAGGGTGGTGAAACACTGGAATGCGTTACCTAGGGAGGTGATGGAATCTCCTTCCCTAGAAGTTTTTAAGGTCAGGCTTGACAAAGTCCTGGCTGGGATGATTTAGTAGGGTTCGGTCCTGCTTTGAGCAGGGGGTTGGACTAGATGACCTCCTGAGGTCCCTTCCAACCCTGATATTCTATGATTCTATGATCTATCTATCTATCTCCATACACCCCCTGTATCTATCTATCTATCTCAACACACCCCCTCTATCGATCTATCTATCTATCTATCCCCATAAAGCCCCTCTATCTATCTAATCTATCTATCTATCTCAATACACCCCCTCTATCTATCTATCTATCCCCATAGAGCCCCTCTATCTATCTATCTATCCATCTATCTATCTCCATACAACCCCACTCTATCTATCTATCTATCTATCTATCTATCCCCATAGAGCCCCTCTATCTATCTATCTATCTATCTATCTATCTATCTCCATACACCCCCACTCTATCTATCTGTCTATCTATCTATCTCAATACACCCCCTCTATCTATCTATCTATCACCATACACCCCTGTATCTATCTATCTATCTATCTTGACAATGGAACGGCTGAAAGATCCAAGCATTGAGGACACGTGGTGCCCAGGAGTTTAACAGGAAAAAGGGGACAAGGGTGAAAAAGGGGAGATTTCTGTTCTCCTGATTTCTATACATCTTAACAAAGTGCTGCCCCAGCCTATAAGGAAGTGGCAATTATTTCGGAAACAGACCACAAAAAGGCAAAGGGCCTTTGGGGAAGGGACTTGTTCATGGTTCTGTGTTTGTACAGCACCTAACGCCATGGATCCTGAGTTGTTACTGTAATACACCTAATATATAACAACAGTAAATACAGGCATAGATAGATAGGCAGCAAGGGAATTCCCTCTGTAAAGGAAAAGCTGATGGCAAGCCTTAGGAACATTGCTGTAGCGGTGAAATGAATCAAGCTCTGAAACATGCCCCAAGAGAGGTCCAAGTGCCAAGGGGGTCCAAAGAGGTACGGAGTTGGGTTAGTAATCAGGACTCCTGGTTTGTAATTTTTTCTCAGCCATACTGGGGGCCACTCAGTTGTCCTGTCTGAGCCTCAGTTTCCCCCATGTGTAGAACAGGGATCATAATACTAACAAGAGCTGGTCAGCAAATGCCATTCATTGAAATTGAAACTTGCCATGGAAGTGGCTTGATTGTGATGAAGTTTGGCTGGATTCATGCCTCGTTTCCTGGCTGCTCACCTGCTGGGCTACCTCAGAGTCAGGGAGACCAGGACAACCAGGGTATGCAGCACAACGGGGCCCTGATCTCAGCTGGGGCCGGGACTGCGAGTCACTAGCACAGCGGGGGCGGGGGGAGGGGAGGGGGGGGGTATTGCGATGAGGTCACTTAGGAATCGGGTCAGGATTCTCCCCTGCTGTCTGGCACCCAGTAGAGTCGGCAGATGGAGAAAGCTTATAGCCCATCCGAACGTCCCCGCCTGGAGCAGGTGGGAATAATGCTGGGGAGGGGGCAGGGGAGAGCCGCCACCAGGGGGCAGAGAGAGGGGAGGAAGAGGAGGGAGCCGGAGCTGCTGGGCAGCCAGGTGGAGAGAAAAATGTGGGGCAGTACCATGAGAGCCCAGAAAGGAGGGAGGGCGTGAGACAGCCGCTGGCTTCAGAGAGGTCAAGGCAAGCAAGGAAATCCTGGCAGAGGTTGGCAGAGTGGAGTGGAAGGAGCCGGACTGGCACATACCTAGACGTGTGGGGCCAATGGCTGGTTGCAGAGAGTGGCTGTTGATAAGAAGATCACTTGGGTTTGGATCTAATTGTGACCTGAGGGCATCTTCAGAGCCACACAGGATGCCGGTGGCAAAGGTGCTTTCACCCCACACATGTTAGTGGGCTCCACAGAGGAATACCTGAAATTGATCGCGGGGGGAGGGGCAGCCACATTGCAGTTGAGGCTGGAGGCAGGGTGTCCACACTGCAATTGACATGAGGGAAGGGCGTCCACACTGCGATCAGTTCTAGGGGCGGAGCCTCCAGCCTGCTATTGATTTAGGAGAATTGTGGGGCCACAGGAACTGACTTTAAGAGTCAGATTTGGTGGGGATGGAGAGAAGAGAATTGGTCTGGAGGAGAGGCAAAAGGGAGGGCTGTTTTGGGGGTGCAGGTGGGAGAGATGGGGGGTCGGGGGGGGTGTTTCTTCAGAACACTGAGATTGTGGACTGTGGGCAGAGAGGCTGGGGGCTGGGGCTTAGGATGGGGTAGACATTTCAGTGTTTCCTAAGCGATTTCCCACCACCACCGAATTTCAGCTCCAGGGGAAATTTCAAAATTTTGGTTTTTGCGGCAACAAATTTTTGAGATTTCCCACCAGGAAGAAAATCCCCAACTTGCTGCAGCCATACGTCGAGGGGGGGATGTGGTGGGAAGGCAATGCAAACGAACGTGGTGATGACCATCTTCTCCTGGGTGACGCTTTGGCGGAGGGACCCGGGTGGCACTGGGGGCTCAGCCGGGGATTGGCTTGCGGGAGGCACAGAAGATAGCTGGGGCTGTGGGCATGGACAGGGCTGTGGGCATAGCCAGTGGCGCGGGAGGAGCGGGTATAAAGCAGTTGTGGGTGGAAGGGAGGGATCCCTGCTCGCCTGAATGATGCTCATTTGATCCCCCACTTAGTGACTTGACAGAGAGACCGGCTTTAATACAGTCCTTTGGCAGGATGGCTATGGAGCTGCTGAACATCGTGTTGCTGCTAGTGCCGGCAGGTAGGAGGGTGTGTGTGTGTGGGTGGGTGTCCCTGCTGCCCCCTGCTGGAGGGCATGAGCCCTGCTGTGGGGATGGGGGGTGTCCCTGCCGCCCCCTGCTGGAGAAGATGAGCCCTGCTGTGGGGGTGTGTGTGGGTGTGTGTCCCTGTTGCCCCCTGCTGGAGAAGATGAGACCTGCTGTGGGGGTGGGGGGGTGTCCCTGCCGCCCCCTGCTGGAGAAGATTAGCCCTGCTGTGGGGGTGGGGGGGTGTCCCTGCCGCCCCCTGCTGGAAAAGATGAGACCTGCTGTGGGGGTGGGGGGGTGTCCCTGCCGCCCCCTGCTGGAGAAGATGAGCTCTGCTCTCTCTGTGTGTGGGATTGTGCTGTTCTCTTCAACCCTCCATTGCTTGCATTTATCGTGTGGGGCAATTCCCCTCTCACTCCCCCTGGAGTAAATCAGGAGTAACGCACAGCAGTCAATGGGGCTGGCTCATTATTGAGATTAGAATGAGGCCCTTGGTTTTTATTTCCAACTGTCTACACACACACACACAACCTGCTCCCCCTGGCCCCAGCCTTGCAGTGCCGTGTGTTGCTCTTCCCTTGCAGTGATAGCACAGACGGACACACGGATCATTGGGGGCTACCCCTGTGAGAGACCCCAGCCCTGGCAGGCCGCTATCTACGATTTAAACCGGCTGTACTGCGGAGGGGTGCTCATCAACAAGGACTGGGTGCTGACGGCTGCCCACTGCAGGCTGCCTGGGTAGGTGGGGGAGGGAGGGTTGTCCCCACAGACCCCTGCTGGAGGGGATGAGCCCTGCTCTGTGTGCATGTCTCAGGGTCTGGGCAGCACCTGGCACAACGGGGCCCTGATCGCGGTCAGGGTCTGTGCAGCGCCCGGCACAACGGGGCCCGATCTCGGTCGGGGTCTGTGATGTGCCCGGCACAACGGGGCCCGATCTCAGCCAGGGTCTGTGCAGCGCCCGGCACAACGGGGCCTGATCTCAGCCAGGGTCTGTGCAGCGCCCGGCACAACGGGGCTCTGATCGCGGTCAGGGTCTGTGCAGCACCCGGCACAACGGGGCCCGATCTCGGTCGGGGTCTGTGATGTGCCCGGCACAACGGGGCCCGATCTCAGCCAGGGTCTGGGCAGCGCCCGGCACAACGGGGCCTGATCTCAGCCAGGGTCTGTGCAGCGCCCGGCACAACGGGGCCTGATCTCGGTCGGGGTCCGGCAGCCTGATCTCTCAGCTGTTTTGCTGTCAGTTTCCCCAGATGAGCCGCTGTTTGCGTTTGCTTTCAGCACCACCAACATACGGCTGGGCGAGTACAACCTGCGGAAGGTGGATGAGACCGAGCAGCTCCGGGTGGCTGCGAAGATCATTCCCCACCCCAACTACGACCCCGCCACCAAGGACAACGACATCATGCTCATCAAACTCGCCACCCCCGCGCAGCTGAATAACAATGTGCACCCCATCGCACTGGCCAGCAGCGCCGCCCAGCCGGGGGTCATCTGCCAGGTGTCCGGATGGGGCACCACCACCTCCCCACAACGTACGCTGACCCATGTGACACAGCAATGAACCTGAGACCTCTGGAATCTTAACACATGAGCCGCTGAGCCAGCTGCCTTAGCCGCAGCTGCATCCAGCTCAGCCACCACTAGAGGGGGACATTGAGTCGGTCACATGTCTCCGTCGGGGATGGGGAGGGACCTGAGAAGGGCAGAGGGGGGAATGGAAAATTCCTGTCCCATAATTTTTTTCCAGATATTGAGAAAATGTCCCATCCTGAACCAGGAGGAAAAATTATATTTTTGTTATTAAAAAAAATTCAGTTCGGGGTCCAGCGTAGCCTTTTGTTTCGATCATTTCGGAAAGTTTCCTTTCACTTTCAGACTTTCCCCTCTTTTTTTTTCCCCCTAAAATTTCAAAATAAAACGTTGTTTCCACTCGCCCCCACCCCCAACAATCTCCAGTTTGAAAATGTTGAAAAACTCTTGACAATTTCGAAACTCTGTTCATCCAAAAGAGGTTCGAGTTGGAAGAGTGGCTGAAAACTCCCCTGTTCAACAAACCAGCACGTTTCGGGGCAAGAACTGTTTACTGAGCAATTCCCCGCCTGCGCTAGTTTTCCCTTTTCGTCGCCAGGATGCGAAAGGAGAATTCAGAGCCATTTGTCGCTGATTGTTCTTTGTCTCCCATGTCCAACAGCGTCATTCCCGGCTTTGCTGCAATGCGCTGACCTCAGGATCCTCTCAGCGTCGGAATGTCGACAAGCCTATTCCAGCCTGGTCACTGACAACATGCTCTGTGCCGGCGCCAGACAAGGAGGCATCGATTCCTGCCAGGTCTGGGGCGTTGTGGTGGATACCTTGGGTAGATGCCTGGGAAATGGGTTTCCTGGCATGGGAAAAAATGCGTGAAAACTTTTCCCATCCTGAATCAGAGTGAAAAGTCGGCATCTCGAAAATGTTCACAAACCAACAGGCAAACGATTTGATTTTGCAACAGTTTGGCGATCATTTCTTTGCATTGCAGTTCCACATCGGCCATTTAAAATAGCTATCTATCTATCTATATATAGCTATACGCCGGTGAGCTTAAACGTCGAAACAAAAAGGCATTTTGAACCAGGAGACCAGAAAGGGTCTGACCTGAAATTGTCAAAACGGGCCATTAAGATCATTTCCGGAACTTTTTTCTGAAAAATTTGCCAAAACCGACCCTTTCCTGTGAAAAATTTCAGTGCTGACAAATCACCATTTTTCAATGGAAAAATGTTTTGTCCAAACATTCCCAGTGAGCTCTAAGTTTGCTCTCTAGTGGCAGAAAGAGAATCAGGAACTGCAGCTGGCAGAGAATGGGTATAGTGGGTCTACGCCAACCCCTTCTCAGCCCCTCACCATGTTGTGGCAGGACGTGGGGAACGGGTGTTGTAGAAAATTCCCCATCCCTGGGGCATCGGGGATCGAACCTGCCACTGCTGGGCCTTCAAGGAGGCCGAGCAACAAGGAAGGAGGCTGAATGTAGATGCGAGCAGAGGGCTACAAAGCGGGGTCAGCCAGGAATATTAGGGGCAGGGTTTCAGCACTAGGGCTGAGGCTTCTGCAAGTGACACCAGGGCGGGGCCAGCCTGGGTTCTGCCCAGTTCCGTTCCATGTGATGCTTTATGCAAATTATTTCTGCAGTTGATTTGCATATTTGCCTCTCCCCTCTCCAAACTCATGCTTGGCCTCCTTCCTCCCCACTGAGCCATTGACCCCCCCCCACCCCACATGGGCATGTCGGGGAGGGGTACACGGCTGGTGACACACAGTTCTATCTCCACAGGGTGACTCCGGGGGTCCCCTGGTATGCGGCGGGATCCTCCAAGGCATTGTGTCGTGGGGGTTGGAGGAGTGCGCCCAACATAACAAACCGGGTGTCTACACCAAGGTCAGCAAATACATCAACTGGATCCAGCAAACCATACGGGGTGGGTGAGTTGCCCCAGGAACCTCAATAAAACATGAGAGACATACCCATGCCTCCACGCCTTCTTCCATCCTCAGAGCCCCGGGTTTCCAGGGCAACAGCGGATGCAGCACTGATGGGGCTGGCAGCTGAGTGCATCTAGCTCTTGGGTGGAGCTGGCCGGAGAAATGGAATTTCTGTTGATTCGGAATCAGGCTTGAATCTGAAGGAAAAGTCGAAATACTGGAATTTCCTGCGCAAGGAAATGTTCCCCCAAATGTTGTTTTTTTTTTTTAATTGCTGGTAATACACTATTCATAACTTCCAAGGCCAGCAGGGGGCTCCGGAGAGCGGAGATCAATTCCCTACCCTGACACAGACGCTCCACATGTGACCGTGGGCAAGTAGCTTGGTGCCTCGGTTTCCCATCTGTAAGCTGGGGATCGGCGCACTGCCCTGCTGCCCAGGGGTGTTGTGAGAATAAATACATTAAAGATTGCAAGGTGCTCAGATACTAAGAGGAGAGGGACCAAATAAGCACCTAAGATAGACAGACCCCTCGGGTGAAATATCCGTTCTAGGGTGCAGAAACACCAAGCTACCAAGAATGTGGGTCACACTCATAGGCTGAGGGGTGGTGCCCTGGAAAACCGCTACTCTGGGATGGACCCAGGAGTTCTGGTGGAACCAACAGACCATGCACTTCCGAGATGATGCTCTGGCTAGAGAAGCAGGGGGCTAGTGAGTAGAAGCCAGGCTGCAGGGTCCCCTCTGGTACAGCGTCAAGAAGAGCATGAGTGAATTTGGGGTTCAGCAAAGAGCAGGAATGGTCCAAGGGCTAGAAACCCTGCCTGAGAGCCAGACACTGAAAGAGTCCGATCCAGTGGGTTTCTCCCAGAGAAATTCCTGGTCTATTGGCAGCACCTGGTGGAGGAGATTTTGGGGAGCAGAGGGCAGACAAAGATCTGACAGCTGACAGACAACCCCAGACTGGAAACAAGGGGCAGATTTCCCCCAGTGAGGGGAACTGATCCTTGGAACATGTGCCCCAGGGACGGGGCAGATTCTCCCTCCCTTGGAGTCTTTCCATAGAGATCCATTGAGAGCTCCATAGAGATCTAGCTCACCCAGCAGATATGGGCTTGAAATCTATGAAGGGGCAGAGTTAAGGCACACATGCAAGGGGGCTGAGTTAAGGGTGTGCTGGCTCAACCCCGAGACCTGGGCCTGAGGCAGCGATCCGTGGGAAAGGTTCTGCAGCCTGGGTGAGGATGCAGGGCAGAATGATCCCTTCTGGCCTACAGATCCATGGCCTGTTACTCAGATGCAAGTGTAGCATCAACACACCATGGCACTGAGGGGCTTGGGCACCTTTCCCCACCCCACAACACCCACACAGCTCCTGTGTGGAAGTGAGTATCAGTATCCCCATTTCGCCGATGAGTAAACCGAGGCACAGAGTGATGACATGAATTGCCTGAGTTTACACAGGGACTGTGTGAAAGGGGAAAGAGTTGAAGCCAGATCTTGTTAGGCCCAGGCCAGTGTCTTAACCCCCAAGCCAACCTCCATATGAAGGCAAACACTCATTCTTTTTTATTCTGACACTGGTCTGCCCCCATCCATTTAGCCCCTTACAGTTGCCCAGGGCACCATCTCAGATTGTATTCGGGCTTGTGTGGTCACCTGACACCCCAGAATTGTCCAGCGCCGTGGGAACGGGTTGCCCCTGCCCCGCGTTAGAAACGGCCTTTCGCTTTCACAGGCTATAAAGCAGGGGACGGGAACTCAGCTGCTGCGGCTTATGGGAGAACTGCCTGAATCTCCCAGAACGCAGTGCAGCCCATTGGTTGAAATCCTCCCAAGGCAGCTGTTCCTGGATTCCTGGAGGTTGCACCGGGCTTTGAAGTCGCTAAGTGCTTCGTAAGTGGCTTGGATCCTTACGACTTTAATTATGATGCAGTATTTCTGTTCCAACTCCAACTTCCAAGGGAATGATGGAGTAGACCAAATGCCTTGCCCGCAGCAGGCCATAAAACCACGTTCATTCACTTGCTGCCAGAGTAAATGATTTCCAAGGAACACGCTTAATTAATGTGCCTGTTCCGGTAGAACAGGGGATGGGGGCAATAATTTTCACAGGGGAGCCACTCCACGAATTTTGGTAAGTCATCACGGGCCACACATTTCTATTATATTAATGGAGGGGATGCAGGGCCTAGGATAGACTTTCGGTGCAGGAGGGGGCTCGGGGCTGGGGCAGGGGATTGGGGGACAGGAGAGGGTGAGGGGTGTGGGCTCTGGGAGGGAGTTTGGTGCAGGAGGGGGTGCAGGGTCTGGGAGGGAGTTTGGTGCAGGAGAGGGCTCCAGGCTGGGGCAGGGGATCAGGGTACAGGAGTGGGTGCAGGGTCTTGGAGGGAGTTTGGGTGCAGGAGGGGAAGGGATTGGGGTTCAGGAGGGCGTGCAGGGTCTGGGAGGGAGTTTGGGTGCAGGAGGGAGCTCCGGGCTGGTGCAGAGTGTCAGGGTGCAGGAGAGGGTGAGGGGTGTGGGCTCTGGGAGGGAGTTTGGTGCAGGAGGGAGCAGAGGATTGGGGTGCAGGAGGGGGTGCAGGGTCTGGGAGGGAGTTTGGGTGCAGGAGGGAGCTCCGGGCTGGTGCAGAGTGTCAGGGTGCAGGAGAGGGTGAGGGGTGTGGGCTCTGGGGGGGGGTTGGGGGGGGGGGGGGGCAGAGGATTGGGGTGCAGGAGGGGGTGCAGGGTCTGGGAGGGAGTTTGGGTGCAGGAGGGAGCTCCGGGCTGGTGCAGAGTGTCAGGGTGCAGGAGAGGGTGAGGGGTGTGGGCTCTGGGAGGGAGTTTGGTGCAGTAGGGAGCAGAGGATTGGGGTGCAGGAGGGGGTGCAGGGTCTGGGAGGGAGTTTGGGTGCAGGAGGGGGTTCTGACCTGGGGCAGGGGGTTGGGGTGCGGGAGGGGGTGTGAGATGCAGGCTCTGGCCGGGAGGCGCTTACCACAGGTAGCTCCCGGCCGGCGGCGCAGCAAAGCTCAGGCAGGCTCCCCACGCCACTCCCTGAAGCAGTTGCAGCCAGCTCCTGCTGGCACGTCTCTGTGTGCCCCTTGCGGGGAGGGAGCAGCAGGTCTCCATGCACTGCTTGTGCCCACAAGCACCACCCCCGCAGCTCCCATTGGTCAGTTTCCGGCCAATGGGAGCTGTGAGGATGCTGCTGGGGGTGGGGGAAGCGCGCAGAGCCGCCTCCCACCGTCCTGCCCAGGGTGCGCAGAGATGGGCCAGCAGCTGGCAGCTTCCGGGAGCATTGTGGGGCCATGGCAGGCAGGCAGCCCACACTCGGAGATCGCAAGGGGGCAGAGGAAGCCAGACAGAAATGTTAGATGGGCCGGATCCGGCCCGCGGGCCGTATTTTGCCCACCCCTGCAGTAGAATCTGGAGGCCAGGATCAGAGTGAGGTCACACTGTTCAATCCAGGGTTTCTCAATCTTTTTCTTTCTGAGGCCCCCCAATGGGCTGTGAAAACCGCATGGCCCACCTGTGCCATGACAACTGGTTTACTGCCTATAAAAACCAGGGCTGGCGTTAGGGGGTAGCAAGCAGGGCAGTCTCCCAGGGCCCCACACCAAAAAGGGCCCCACAAAGCTAATTTGCTCAGTCTTCAACTTCAGCCCCAGGTGGTGAGGCTCAGGGCCGCGGGACTTCGGCTTTCTGCCCTGGGCCGCAGTGAGTCTAATGCCGGTCCTGCTTGGCGGCCCCCTCAAAACCTGCTTGTGCCCCCACCCCGCCCCGGGGCCCTGCTTGAGAACTGCTGGTTTAATCGACACTTTCCCCCGCCCCCCCATCCCCGAAAAATTTTTGCAGATTCAGCACCACGGAAATTATTTGTGTCCATGTGTCCATGTCCATTTGTGTCCACTTTCTTTCGGTTGGAAAACACCTAAAAAAAATCTCCACGTCTCATAACCATACAGCTAAGGGTAGCCTAGAATTCCTCCTGACCTGTAAGGGGTTAAGAAGCTCAAATAACCTGGTTGGCAGCTGACCAATAGGACCAATGGGGAAAGAAGATACTTTCAGATCTTGGGAGGGGGGAAGGTTTTGATTGTGCTCTTTGTTTTGTGTGGGGGTTCTCTCTTGGGACTGAAAGGGGCCGGACAGAAATCCATCTTCTCCAGCCCATCCCAATCCAAGTGTCCAATATTGCAATGAGTATAGGGAAGCCAGGCAAGGTGGATTAGTTTATCTTTTGTTTTCTTGTGAATTTTCCCTGTGCTAACAGGGAGGTTTATTCCTGTTTTCTGTAAATTGAATTTTCCCTGTGTTAAGAGGGAGGTTTATTCCTGTTTTCTGTAACTTTAAGGTTTTGCCCAGAGGGGGATCCTCCGTGTTTTGAATCTGAATACGCTGTAAAGTATTTTCCATCCTGATTTTACAGAGATGATTTTTACCATTTTTTTTTTTTATTAATAAAATCCTTCTTTTAAGAACCTGACTGATTTTTCCATTGTTCCAAGACCCAGGGGTTTAGGTCTTTGATCATTTTGTAACCAATTGGATATTATTCTCAAGCCTCCCCAGGAAAGAGGGTGTAAGGGCTTGGGGGGATTGCTGGGGGAAGAGGAACTCCAAGTGGTCCTTTTCCCTGGTTCTTTGTTAAATCACTTGGTGGTGGCAGCGTTACTTAAACCCAAGGTACAAGGGAGAATTTGTGCCTAGGGAGTTTTTAACCTAAGCTGGTAAGAATAAGCTTAGGGGGTCTTTCCTGTGGGTCCCCATGTCTGTACCCTCGAGTTCAGAGTGAGGAGGGAACCCTGGCAACACGTAATCAAAATTTCAACTTTTTCTCCACCTTGGGCTGTTTGGGCTCGAAACAACGTCTCCCTTCTCGGAATGGGCTGCTCCAAAAGGATTTTAAAAGGATTTTGAAATTGCGCAGCACTGAAGAACGTGTCAAACGGCTGGATGCTGATGCTCAGACACGTAGACTTTAAGGCCAGAAGGGACCATTGTGTTCATCTAGTCTGACCTCCC